AACTTTTGTACATTATTTTTTAAAATAATTTTCGCATTTTATTTGTCAGACTATTCAGCAAAAGGCTCTGTACATCTTCATCTAAGTGCCTAGAATTGAATTTAGTTTCATCTTGTCCTTGGGACAGGATCACTCTTCTCGGATGGAGCCAATAAAAAAGAATACAAAGCTAAGGTATGAAGACCAAGATAGTGTGGCCTTTTGTGTGGTCGCAGTCTTCTTTGGTTGTATAAAGTTGTTTGACCTTGTTTTCGCAACTCGGTCATATTGGTAGGAAGACTTAGAGGAGCGCACCTTGTCCGGAGTAAGTTTCATGGTTGCCCTAATTGCTTGTGTGCCAACCCACAAATGTTGTGGTACTGCTGGCTTTGATTAGATCACTGTTGAACCACAACGTTTGTAGGTTGACACACAAGCAACTAGGGCATGGCAAGTCATAGAGTTGGTATTAGGGATAGAGACAGAATAGACGAGGCGGCGATTGGAGCTAATTGGCTGACAGTAGGTTTTACAAGAAACGTGGTACATGTAAGAAAGGCATGACCATGAGGCTTTAGCATAGAATTAGTCACCCAGACGCAGGGGTGGTGTAATCACGCCTAGAATAGCACAGATGGGGGAGGCAAGTGTCGAGTGAAATACATGTACCAGGGAGATAGCAGATGGATTCGACGGGGCAAGAGGGAGACTTTGATAGAACCCAGGAAAGGACTACGTAACAATATGACAGACTCTGGTCAACATTCCCAGCACAAAGGTGAAGGGGGTGTAACGACTGTGTAAAGTGTGAAGGGTTTTCATGAATGCCGCTCGAAGGAGCACACCACATTACATTAAAAATAAGCACGGTAAAAAATTGATAGGGAAGGCATAATAGGAGGATATATGAAATGTGAATAAACCAGGGCAGAAGGGGAGATACCATAAGTGTTTTTCACACGTTTGGTCAAAGGATGGGATTCACTTGTCTCTTTGACGAAGTGTAATATGGTGCTGCGAATGGCTCACTGACGATGCCGGCGAACCATCTGGGGATGTAACACGCCCACGGTCCTACTCTGGAAATAATGATGCATACAATGGACTCCGGACAAGGTGCGCTCCTCTAAGTCTTCCTACCAATATGACCGAGTTGCGAAAACAAGGTCAAACAACTTCAATACAAAGCTAATTAACTACCGTGTACTCCAGACTGATATTACTGTTAGAATTATCATAACAAAGGTATTGAAATTTAAATTCCGTAGTAAAACTGTACCTAATCCTTATTTTTTGAATTTTTACTATTTGACAAGTCTCCCTCAAATTCCCCAACATAGGTCTGTAATGTAACACTTTTGATTGCTTTCTCAAATACATCTGAGTTTATACTAGTAAGCGTCGCGTACTAGTGATCATTAATTCTCGTTTTTAAAGTTATATTAGCATCCCAAGATGCTGGAGAACATTAATCCAGTCCTGCACCCAATAGGGCCGCGGTTCATATCTCGAGTTAGGGATCCTGTCACTTCTTTCTACGCATCTAATCAACATGATAGCTCTTCTACTGACCATCGGAGACCCCCACGAGAGCCCATTGAAAGATGTGAAATATTTGAGCACATCCGCGACATCCGTGACCCTGAACATCCACACACTCTTGAAGCGTTGGGAGTGGTCACATCGGGTGGCGAAGATGATGATTGTATTTCCGTTGACGACGCGGGGGGCCGAGTTTCTGTCTACTTCAGGCCAACTATACCTGGGTGCAGCATGGCTGCCCTCATTGGTTTGGCACTTAAAGTCAAACTCATCAGAAGCCTACCTCGGAGGTTTAAGGTGGGTGTAACGAAAGTAGCATTCCTTACAAAACATTTCTGCGTTTTCCAACCGATTATTCTTGAGAAGTTAGGTCTCATTGCCTTTATGCAAAGTTTGGTGGCACATCCGAGACAGTCCATATAGGTATCAGCTACTCTCAGCATAAGTGAATCCCTGTAATTCAGTGGGCTCAGCCAAATCTTTGCAGTAAACTAGTCATGTAACTCAAGGTCTTAGAATCTCTAAAATTTGTTCTTGATATCGCTTCCTTTCGCCACCAAATATTACCAAGTTGAATGTGATCCGAGTTTAATGCAATCAGTTGTAACGATAAAATTTTCCACCATGGATATGCGCCAGATAGCCGTTATGATTCGATGATGAATATTAAAAATAGCAGGATTCCATGTATGTGGGTCTATCTAGACTCAATTCAGTCTCAAAACTTATTCATATCGAAATTTATGTGACGGGATTGAATTATCTTTCGTGTTGTCCTAAAATCACGAGTTTGTCACAGATGAAGCGACCCATTCTACTCTCACACACAGGTTCTTTCAATTTTAATACAAACTGTACACAAGACTATATTGGTTTATTTAATTTCTGTATAAACTTGTAGACTAATTAAATGATGCTTCATTTTCATAATGTGGCTGGCTTTGCACGAGACGAAAAGCTCTCTGTTCACGGCGTCCACATTTTTCCTTCTGCTTGCTCTAGCTGATATCACTTATACTTAACCAAACCGTTAAGTATACTCCGATTCGCCCGGTATTGAAACTTATAAATCGTCTTTACTCTGAGGTCAACGGAATCATACTTTGGTTAAGTTTACGCGCTTCGATATCACCCTATACTAAAATAGATAATAACACCAACACTACTTGCCATATATTTTCACCCAAGTCTGCTCTCCCTGTATGTGGTTGTCTTGATCTTGTTTTTTAAAAGCCTCTGATATGTCCCTTAATGTTCAATGGGATCGCCCATCGCGTTTCACTGGGCATCAGTGGATTCGGCCCGACTGGTAAAGATAATCCTCTTGAACGATTTGTGGAGTCTTCCCTTCATACTTTAAATTTTCTATATCATAGCGCTTTATCCTCATCCCTCACTCCCACCTTACATGATCAGGTTTCATTATCATTCCATACCCATTTTTTCTGACATTCGGAATGTGTTTTTTTTATTGGACCCATAGTCCCTAAGTTTTGTCAATTTCTCATTTATTCCTCAAAAATTAATGCCCAAATCGATATATATCGTGAAATTCACTGACATGCTTCTAGCCCCGACTTTCCTTAAACGGTCAGAACATTATCTTGGTCCGACCCATTATATCTACTATACTCGATGAATAACAGAACAGTTATTCTCATGAACGACTGTGTAATGGCACCGGCGATTCATGGTTATTTCTCGGGGCCTGTAAGTAAACCTCTCTTAATATGTACCTTTCACTTGTAGTCCCCTATAAGAATTCCCTCTGCATAATTAGCACGTTACTATTACAGCCTTCTTGGTCTCTTACATCATCATTCTCTCTACGGGTTCACTCGAATCTATCTGCTTCTATCTTAGTTTGGTGCGTACATGTGGATTGATAAATCTCGGGCAATAAATTCATTGTTCACTTTCTTGATAACCTATGCCTTTAGCCTCCTCTATATGATCATACTCACTGGGAATGAAAAATCAAGATATAAGCATACCAGGACAGAAAATCTTAAAACAACTGATAGGACGTATTTCTTTGAAATTCTTACGGCATATTTTAATACAACCACTGTCCCATCGTTTGTGAGTTAGAAATATAAAGACTTACCTTTTCACTAGCATCTCGCTGCATCGCCAAATTTCATTGACTCTTTTTATATTATGCCTTCTATGTCAATAAGCGGACTCATTTCAGGTCTTGTACCTCACTTTCCTAGATCAAAGTCGCGATTGCGCCCGGTGCTCATGACAAGGAAGACGAAGTAAACAAGCAACTGGCGGACAAAGAGCGCGTCGCAGCTGCGCTAGAAAACCCAGCTCTTCTTCGAATGATTAACGAGTGCCTAGCAAACAGCTCAGGCACATCCGATGAAGCAGGATCAGATAATTAGGAAGTGTCAGGCCCCACTCCTTTATCGCTCCCCCATGTTGCTGAAGCTGGGACGGCTAGCACCGACTTGAGTATCTAGGCCACCTCCTCTGTACTAAGCTTATTTCTTAAATGCTATGAGCCCTGCATTGCTTAACACCTGCTGCATGAATTTCCTTTTTGAAGTCCATTTTATTGATATCAAATGCGCCTAATAACGCAACTCGCAAAGCACCCGCAGCAAGACTATTCTAGCAGGAAAAGCTAATTGAATGTGATAATTTCACCTGCATCAATAAGATCGGATTCCCGGTGGCAACCACTTAAATAAGCACTATCCCTAGTATCTACGAGATTTTAAACACTTCAAACGGCTCTCTTGAATCGTGACAAACAAAATTGAAGTAAAAGTCACATGAACGAAATTGGGAAATAAACCTAGCAGGAAACTAGAAGATTACCTTGGAGCTCATCGACCTGCGACCTCAGAATCCATGCTTCTTAAGTTTGCGATCTAAATGATTTTGCTGGTTAACTTATTCTTATTTTTCGTTTATAAGCAGTATCGAGACTATTATTTCTTGTCTTATATGCTTGCATACGGAGGAAGAGAATGCAGTTGTTACATGTAATGAAACTACATGAATAAGCTTTCAATCTTGGAGTTTTTGAGTGGGTTTTGATGCGTGGTATATCCAACTCATGTAAGCCTAGTCCTAAAAAGACCAGCCTCCGCCTCATTAAACCTGATTCATTAAATTTCAACACATCTCTTTGTCCCATGCTTCTTGTTGACTTCCAAATCCTATTCTTTGATGTGTACTTACCTGTACTTCAGATCGTTCTCTTGTCCTCTTAATCATGCGCTGAACTGGTTCGTACTTTTGGACCCGTATGACTTTTACAAACGATTTTTGTTCATCCGATCTCTTTTAAATGAATAGACCCCATGTGAGCGAGCCTAGTAGCTGGATGTGAAAATCCATTGGACCAAGGCATCGGAGTCTTGTGGAAAAACTTGTTTTCTTGCCTTCGTGTTTTAGCAAAATACCGTTAAGCATGGTGTCCTACTCTGGCGATGTCCGTCACATGGCGAACGAAAGATCAGTGGGGATTCATCTGTGTAGCAGTGCAGAGTTAAGTGTCTATTCGCACAAATCTGTAATCAGAGCTCCAAGGCAATCCCCACAGCTTCCGGCGTAACCAACTTACGAATCCCTT